ATAACACCACATATAATACTGCTCCTGCTGTAGTTAGGAATGCCAATCTCGTCCCTTCACACTAGGAATCTCAGAAAGCTACGATATATAGAAACATTTCTATACCGCATTTTGGGTGGTAACGAGTTAAAAAATGTGAAGTGTTGACCAAACTGTTTAATAACAGTGTTGAATATGTACTACTACTTGGTATACATTATTCAGATGGCCAGACAGGCTTGACGTACTTTCTTTTTTTTTAAAAGGTAAAAGTCAGGCTTGACGTACTTCTAAGTATGAAATAGTAGAACCAAAGAAATTGCTGGTATATATCCCAAAATAAAGAAGTGCATAAATGAATGATAAGTTATTTGAACAGGAAGTCTAAACAAGGACAACAAGAAACTGGAACATGATGACATGGATATGTTTTGAAGAAGGATCTTTTTTTCATAAGTGATATGTATTGAGAAAGTTACCAAGATAAAGGAAACAAACCTCCTGAGTTTCGCGATAATGAACAAGGACTATGTGTTCAAGGGACCTGATACAATCACAGAAATGGAAAAAATCAAACTCAAAAGATACAGGTGGTTTCGTGTAAGTGGAAACTGTATGCAAATGATTTATCATTGCAGTTAACTGGGGAAAAAACAAAGGGGAAACCCTTTATTGGCTTGATGCAAGCAGCAAAAAAGTGTATTTCATACTTGTCAAGTAGCCAGTAACATCTCCGAACAAAGGTCGGGTGATCTTCTCCATGTGCATAGTATACATGAATTCGTTCTTCATTACCAACCTGCACTAAGAAACAAAATGGATTTGACCAGCACAGAAAAGATTGCAAATCTCACCTCATGATCTTGAAATACATATCTTCTGGAAGAGAGCAAATTAAATTCAGAAATAGAGAAGAGGACAAAAGGACATGGATGGGAAGAGTACGAAATTGAAACCAAAAAAGTGCATCTCTACTTTTCAGGGGAGACCTTCTATTGTATGCATTGAGCAAAAAGATTAACAACTCTTATGCATCAAGCTATAAGAGATAATTCACACTTGCGAATTGCAAAAATAAAGCACCCATAGTTCTGGCGTAGGAATGACAAAAGAAACATGCTATGAAAGAAGACATAAAAAGAATGAATTGTTTTCTATACTAACGCTACATTTAATATATTAACCAAAGGTTTCACAGAAAGCTAGTTAGACTTTACCGATTAAAACTAGGCATGGATGGTTTTCAAAATGACTACACCCTAAAGCAACTAGGATTACTAGAAACTCTCCTTAGCTAGATGTATGTAGATTAAAATTTGTGCATTGCATTGGGTCATTTTGCATCTAGCTAGGTCTATTCAATCATTTTTCGAGCGCCCCGTGAAACAAAAGCACAGCAGTATCTACTGTTAATACTGGAGATGGTCTTAGTTCCACGAGTCTTTGGATACACAATTGTTTGGTTATGCGGTTTTGGTCTCTGGTTAATATCTAATGCATAATTATCTCCAACAATGATAAAGCTGATCATGGGCATTCTAGCTAGTTCCTGAATGAGCTCCACCATTTCAGCACAAAGATGCGTTTATTCTAGCCACATCCAGTCATGTAGCCGCAGTAGATGAATAATTAACAGGCCATGTAAAAACTTGTTGCGAGGTTCAGCACTGTGCGATAAGAAGTTTCGTTGGATTTTGTGGGTTAGTGTGACAGTAAGCTCTCACCCGCCAAGGTGATGCAATATAGGAGAGAATATGATTCAAATGTTCATATATTTCCGATGTGAGATTGATTATGTCTAAGTCTGTATTCCACACCACTCAATGACTTCTACTACATGCAGTAATCAGCCTCAACATCTTGAGTCCAAATCCAAAACAATAACAAAAGGCGTTTGACTGAATATTCAGTCGTATAAACTTTAAATATGCCTCCCTTATCTTCTGCCACTTAAAACTCGTGCATAGCATGAGAAAGGCTACAATTTTTTGTCGATAAGTCAAAGGGAGCTGTATCGACAACGATTGCCAACCTTGTACACGGGGAACAAAAAATGCCAAAAAAGTAGTGCTGTACAGAACGAGTAAATTCGTAAAAACATTCAGCAAAAGTAAGTTGCATACAGGATTTCTACGATTAAGCCACAGAGATAAAGTGGAGCAGAAATTTCTTATATCATCTTAAATTCAGGTGTTAGATTTACATCAATGATACTTATAACAGAAAAGAAGGCGAAGAGATTTCAAGAGCAACTATACCAGAAAAAGCAGAAACCAGAAATATAGCAGAACAGCAATAACGAGCACCTCTCATTACATGTATAACAAGCAAGCTAGCAAACCATTATGGGAAGTATGACACACTAAGGATCATTTGACACTCACTTTTAAGTGTTCGTGAGCTTCTTTTACTGTTTTCCCGTCCTTTTTCTTCTTCCAGTTATGACCGTCTTTCCGGAAATTCCTGAGCATCTTACGATCAAACAACACGATTGTGCCACCTGTTGTAGTGGAATAGGAGAAGATTACATAAATCAACAGAACCTAACATGTCCTAGAAGTTCAGTTTGCTGATGTCTTTTTTTAAATAAGTAAAATATTATTCACAAGTAATCCCAAGCACTGAGTTCATTGATGGGTATTACTTTGTTTACTGATGTCATGTTCCATTTCATTTAATATTACACTACACAAAACAAGAAAGAAATCATCGCAAGACAAAGACCATAAAAGGTAGTCGTTTAGAGTGGCATTACTCGTCGGCAGGTTCACAGGCTTGACAAAGATGTTGAAGTACTTGTAGTTGCACAATATCGCATGGATCTCATTTGGTCGGAGCCACCTCATCTTCGCTTCTTCCATTATACTGGGAATATCCAAATCTGCGCAAGCAACAGAAAATATCACTTTTAATCAGCAAGGATGATTCAAGAAAGTAAATCAACCAAAATTAAAAAACTACAAGCAATAGCAGAAAGGTCAGAGGCCAATTCTGATCCGAACGTAACAGTCTACATGATTACTTTGTGCATCCATCTAGTCATTATAAACTCAAGGGACCTTTTCTCGCCATCACTTTGCTCTCATTTTCCACGAATTCAGGAGCTTGTGGTTTATTTCCATAATGATATGGCTTCCTAACTATCACAAAAGGAAAAAGAGTTCTGGCTTCACTCACATTTAATTAAAAACTTGTTAGAAACACTTTCACACTAGATGATACTTCATTCACCAAAGTGGTCGAGGAAGCAACATTTGCTTTGTTCTCATTTCTGAGTATCACCACAATTGGTCTAGTTGGTTTTTTTTTTTTTTGTTGATAGTCACAATTGGTCTAGTTAGTCTGGTTTCTGGAACTTGAACAAGCGATCAGATAAAAAGAAAGATTTATCAGGTGCATCTGATAATTTATCCAAAAATTATCCAATTCAGTTTGCATCTGAATATCCAAAAAATGGTCGATGAAATTACTATTCAGGAAAATTTATCCTGTTGATATATTTTAACCAGCCCATCAAGTTGCCAAGTTTCTAACTTTGATCCTCAGACCTCGATCTCATACGATTGTTTAGTCAAAATCAAGGAACTCCTTGTTACTTCGATAAGAACTGATCTTGTATTATAATAATAATATAAATTAAGAGGCTTAATGCATGGCAGAGAGATTTTCATGAAATTTAAATATGGAACAGCAGAAACATCACTTAACTATAAGTATAGTTCTTCAGGCATCATTTTTTTCAGGATAGATTGAAGAAATGCAAATGACATAATACAGCTAATTATGTTCCTAGAGCATAGCAATAAACTTAGTTGTTATATAGTGATAATACTCCAATAAACTTTATATGCCACATTCCGAGGAATTACTCTTAGCATTATAAGTCTTACATGATCCTACCTTAGTCTTTTCGGTACCTGATTCAGAGTTAACCCCTAAATTGCAATAAAACTGCTCTTTTGCCACAAGTACACAACCAAGCATTTTTGCATAAACTAGCAAAATCAAAGTAACAGATATAATACCTTGCAGAGTGTGGAAGCCATGAATATCCGACCCAGCGAGTTGTCCTGCTCTGCTGCTTTCCATAACGCAACAAAACTCAAAACCCCACCAAACTAAATCATTCAAAGTTAGAATCTTTACTCCAAGAACCAATACCCCAGCTAAAAACCCATGAAATTTCTAAAAAATAATAAAGCTTTGTGAATGATTAATCAAAACCCACATATGCTGCTTTCACATAACATAACAAACATCCAGACCTACCAAAATTATCATACAAAGTTGGAATCTTTACTTCAAGAATCACAAACCCATCTAAAAACCAATAAAATCCATGAGCTAATTGTTGAAAATAATGAAGCTTTTTCAAAACCCACCAAACTAATCATTCAAATTTAGAATCTTTACTCAACAACCAAAACCCCATCCGAAAACTAATCAAAACCACCAAGCTAATTCTTGAAAATAATGAAGCTTTGTAACTGATCAGTAAAAACCCAAATTCAGATATGAGTCAGCCTATGACCAGTAGTTCTATAATGAAAGCACATCAATGGCTGCTTTTTTTGTCTGCACAAAGTGTCAATATATAATATAATATTGGAGTAACCTAATCCCCAAAAAAATAAGTCTAATTTTGGGTGGAATTCGATTGGCTAATGGGGACAACATACGGGTCGGATCAATAAATGTCCATATCGTTCGTACAAATGATCCATGGAAAAGATTTGTTGCAGCCGAACGGAGGATGACACGCAAACTATATCCGCGTACATGTGGACCCCATATGACTTTTTTGTGATCTTTTTTCTCTTTCAACTTTCTAATGAACTAACATAGCTTGTGTCCACCAGACTAAATGGGTAGGGAACAGGGCTCGGGAGGTGGATGGTTTTAAGTTGTGGTATTCAGGGAGGGTGAGAGGGAAGAACGGGGTAGGCATTTTAGTTGATAAGGATCTAAGGGAGCTAGTGGTTGAGGTTAAGAGGGTGAATGACAGGTTGATGGCCATTAAGATGGTCGTGGGAGGGTATACTCTGAACGTAGTTAGTGTTTATGCGCCTCAGGTGGGTTTGAACGAGGAGGTTAAAAGACGCTTCTGGGAAGATTTGGATGGGTTGGTGCGGGGTATACCGTCCACCGAGAAGCTTATTATAGGGGGTGATTTTAACGGCCACATTGTGAGGTCGCCTGGGGGATATGATGATGTGCATGGTGACTTCGATTTTGGAGATAGAAATGGTGGAGGTACTTCGCTGCTGGAGTACGCCAAAGCTTTTGAGCTGGTGATCGCTAACTCGTATTACCCGAAGAAGGCGGAGCACCTGATAACTTTTCGGAGTGCGGTGGCCAAGACCCAGATTGATTATCTACTTCTCCGAAAATGTGATAGAGGTTTATGCACGGATTGCAAGATCATCCCGAGTGAGAATCTTACGACCCAGCATATGCTTTTGATTATGGACTTAGAGATCAGGTGGACGAGGAAGAAGAGGGCTATGTCTGGTATACCTAGGGTCAGGTGGGGTGCATTAACTAAGGACAAGGCCCAGGAGTTGGGGGAGAAGTTGTTGGCTATAGGGGCCTGGAGGAGTAGCGGGGATGCGAGTTGTATGTGGTCTATGACAGCAAATTGCATTAGAGAGGCGGCGAGAGAGGTGTTAAGGGTCTGAAAGGGTTTTTCTGGTGGCCATAAAGGGGACTGGTGGTGGAACGAAGAGGTTCAGAGGAAAGTGGAAGCCAAGAAAGCTGCATATTTGAAGCTAGTAGAGAGTATCGACGAGGGGCAGAAGAGTGCTAACAGGGAGGGGTATAAGAAGGCTAGGAAGGAGGCGAAGTTGGCGGTTACTAAGGCTAAGACCGCCGCGTTTAGTCGTCTATACGAAGAAATTGGGGATAAAGGCGGGGACATGAAGTTGTACAGACTAGCGAAGGTGAGGGAGCGGAAGGCCCGGGATCTGGACCAAGTGAGATGCATAAAAGATGAGGAGGGAAGAGTTTTATTGGAGGGCGCACAGATTAGGCAGAGATGGCAGTCTTACTTTCATAGGCTCTTGAATGAAGAGGGAGATAGGGGCATTGTGCTGGGGGAGTTGGAGTACTCGGAGCGGCAGCGAGATTTTGGGTACTGTAGACGTATACGAGTAGGGGAGGTTGTAGGGGCTATGCGCAGGATGAGTAGGGGTAGAGCGACGGGACCGAATGAGATCCCGATGGAATTCTGGAAGAGCGTGGATAAGGAGGGCTTGGAATGGCTTGCTGGGTTGTTTAACGACATTTTTAGGACGAAAAAGATGCCCGAAGAATGGAGGCAGAGTACGATGATCCCACTATACAAGAATAAGGGGGATGTCCAAAACTGCAACAACTATAGGGGTATCAAGTTGTTAAGCCATACGATGAAAGTGTGGGAAAGGGTGATTGAAGGGAGGTTGAGGAGGTGTGTGTCCATTTCCGAGAACTAGTTTGGTTTCATGCTGGGACGGTCGACCACTGAGGCCATTCATATTATGAGGAGACCGGCGGAGCAGTTTAGGGCGGTGAAGAAGGATTTGCACATAGTGTTCATTGACCTGGAGAAGGTGGTCACGCCCAACTCTAGTCCTAAAAAGGATAGGCGGTCGCTGCAAATATAATCCGGTCTAAAAGTCCGGAGTCGAATCCCACAGAGAACTAAGGTTTCGCTATAATTGTTCAATATCGCAAAGAAGACAAGATTGAACAATTTCTAAATTATAATATTAAGATTTTTATATCTAACTAATTAACCAACAAATACTATAAAACGGTAAAATTATCAACTAACGAGACAAAGGTTTAGAGACTAAATTAAGGAGGTCTAGAGTTATGATTTCCCCAATTGTTGATTTCATTAATTGTATGTTTCTTATAGCTTTGACTTAGTTGCCTCTATCAATCATGAACTCTCCAGCTATCATAAATCTCTCTCAAGAAATTATGATAATTTACTAGACGCACTCTCTCAAGCTACGCTAGCTAGATTCACATTACAGTTTACTTAGATCGCACCCGAGGTATCGTTATCTCTAATCCAACCTCTAAACCCTCAGTTATGACTCTCGCCTATACTCCAGGAGTGATGTTGTTCAAACAACTACCTAAATATGCACTCTCTCTCAAGCAGATACATAATAAATAGGAACGGCTAATTGAGGATCCTTTCAATTAACCAAAATCAAAACGTAGTTGAACAAATAGAGATTAACAACTAACTCAAAACTATATTAATATAACAACCAATTCATCCCCAAAAGGTTCCATCATAACCCTAGAAAACGAATTAGCTTTTCATAAAAGTATGTGAAAACACAATACTCCGATTCATAACCAACAATAAAATAGGAAGAAGAAGGGGAAAAACTCGTAGTTGAATCTTCCTCCTTGCTCCTAGCATGTTCTTGCCTCCAAGGGTGTTGTCTAACCCTAAATTAGTGTCTCCCCTTCAAAGTGGTGTTTTAGGATGTATTTATATGACCTAGGGTTGACGAGGGGCGGAATTCTTCAATCCAACTTCGGATGGGAGAGCTGGAATCCGCGTCTGCCTTCGCGTCTAGACGCGGACTTTGACGCGGATCCGCGTTTGCCTTCGCGTCTAGAAGCGGACTTTGACGCGGATCCAGCTTTTGAAATTCTTCCATTTCGCGAAGCGCTCCGTGCCTTTGCTTCGCTTCGCTGTTTTGTGCCCTAACTTTTCTCCTTTTTTGCATCCGACTTCGTGCCACGCACGAGAATAGACGAGCTCCCACTCCTTTAATTTCTTCTTTTTGTGTCGAATTGTCATCTTTTGATCATTTATCATCCAAACTCGTTCCTACACATAAGAAACACATAATGAGTATATTTCACTTTGAAAATCATGTAATCTTCCGCGACACACAGAAGAATTAATATGCAAATATACTCAAAAATATGCACTTTTCATCATTTATCAACACCCCACACTTAAACTCTTGCTCGTCCTCGAGCAATCAAACTACACTTTTTTTATAGACACGACCATTTTAAACAATTCTCCTAACTCATCACACCAAGAGTATTTAAAATAGACTAAGCACAAAAGCATAACATCTTTACCTCAAGATTTGACTCATAAGTACCACGCATTATTCACAACTCACCCACTTGCTCTAACATAGAGGTCACTGACATTACCTTTCTTTCATGAATCAAGCGCCCTCACACAACAAAAGAGAGTAGTTCCACACAATAAAATTTAAGAACACTTAGGAACTCAAGATAGAAAGAATTCACTCACTCTCAAAAATAACATTCATATGCCACAAAAGATGCACCATAAGCTTGCCCATAGTGTACTACTTCACTAATCGAGCTCATTGAATCTAGGATCAATTAGGACTTTATTTGGTTGTAATGTAGCCTACGGGACGGGTAGGATATATTTAGATATAAGAGTGACTATACCTCCCTAAGCACTTTAATACATATAATTTAACATTCAAACCCCATACTTATGTCAAACCAAACTCCACCTTTATATCAATGTATATTACCCTATACTTCTTTAAGCACAATTACAGCAAGAGTCACCACTTATTAAAGAAATACTTTTTTTTTCACAGCAATACACCTATATATTTTTTTTTCCAATTCAAGTGGCTTTTACTTGTTCAAAACAGTGCAGCTTTCTCCTGATTTCATTAGTTCCACTCAAAAGCCAAACCAACCACCCCGTACTTTAACTTTTACATAAATCATCACAATTCAAGTGCTTATGAGAGGTTAAAAGGTTCAAATAGATAGTCCATTCAAACAAATGGGTAAGGCTTGTAATGTGGTTGCCAAAGAAACAGGATTACAGGCTCAAAGGGGTTAACTACTATATATAACAATTAGGTGGGTAAAATATACATATCTGGCTCAACAAAGAAATGTCTATATCACTTCCTAGACTGAATAAAACTACTATTTCGCTTTGCAAACACACGGGGCAAGTTCTAGGCATCAAATGCAATGCACAGAATATAACAAATCCTTACACACACATGGCACATAACTCACTCAGGATTGGTTTCATCAAGACACTCTAGTCAAAGCAGTTAAGCAAAGTTAAGATCATACAATTTAAGGTACTTATACAAGAGTCAAAAACTGAGCCTAAGCGTCACAGCCAAAGTACTCACTATTCTCAAGGCATAACCAAGTCAAGAGATATTGCTTCAATTCAAAACATAACACAATGGCTCCTACTCCCAAAAAATAACTAACTACACCCGGTTCAAATAAAACCCTTGGAAAAGAACCGCGGCACAAAGAAAAACCAAGAGGAAATTATTACACTACCTACAAAGAAAATCTTTTTTTTCTTTAGACTTAAATCCCTCAAGAAAATATTCTAATAGATCCATCGTCGGGAAAAGTCCAATCTTTTAAAAAAAAATACTATTTAATTAAACTAATACAGCTAAAGTAGCATGAAAAGTCACCCAGACAATCTCATCACCCCATACTTAAAATTGTGCATTGTCCCCAATGCACAGCATAACCATAAGAGGGTAAGAGAAACTCCCTGGTAGGCTAAAGGCCGAAGCCCTAGCAGTTCATGGGGTACTCAGACTTCTCCCAGGCTTGGTCCTTCGTGCGGGTACCTCACACTTAGTTCCAACCATTTAATTTGCTGTTGCATCCTTCCAATACATTTGCTTTCCATGCTCCTAAAAAAAAATAAAAAAAATTGACAGTACAAAAATCCCCGGCAACGGCGCCAAAATTTGGTCACGCCCAACTCTTAAACTCTTGCTCGTCCTCGAGCAATCAAACTACACTTTTTTTTATAGACACGGCCTTTTTAAACAATTCTCCTAAATCATCACACCAAGAGTATTTAAAATAGACTAAGCACAAAAGCATAACATCTTCACCTCAAGATTTGACTCATAAGTACCACGCATTATTCACAACTCACCCACTTAATCTAACATAGAGGTCACTGACATTACCTTTCCTTCATGAATCAAGTGCCCTCACACAATAAAAGAGAGTAGTTCCACACAATAAAATTTAAGAACACTTAGGAACTCAAGATAGAAAGAATGCACTCACTCTCAGAAATAACATTCATATGCCACAAAAGATGCACCATAAGCTTGCCCGTAGTGTACTACTCCACTAATCGAGCTCATTCAATCTAGGATCAATTAGGACTTTATTTGGTTGCAATGTAGGCTACGGGACGGGTAGGATATATTTAGATATAAGAGTGACTACACCTCCCTAAGCACTTTAATACATATACTTTAACATTCAAACCCCATACTTATGTCAAACCAAACTCGACCTTCACATCAATGTATATTACCCATACTTCTTTAAGCACACTTACAGCAAGAGTCACCACTTATTAAAGAAATACTTTTTTTTTTCACAGCAATACAACTATATTTTTTTTTTCAATTCAAGTGGCTCTTACTTGTTCAAAACAGTGCAACTTTCTCCTGATTTCATTAGTTCCACTCAAAAGCCAAACCAACCACCCCACACTTAACTTTTACATAAATCATCACAATGCAAGTGCTTATGAGAGGTTAAAAGGTTCAAATAGATAGTCCATTCAAACAAATGGGTAAGGCTTGTAATGTGGTTGCCAAAGAAACAGGATTACAGGCTCAAAGGGGTTAACTACTATATATAACAATTAGGTGGGTAAAATATACATATCTGGCTCAACAAAGAAATGCCTATATCACTTCCTAGACTGAATAAAACTACTATTTCGCTTTGCAAACACACGGGGCAAGTTCTAGGCATCAAATGCAATGCACAGAATATAACAAATCCTTACACACACATGGCACATAACTCACTCAGGATTGGTTTCATCAAGACACTCTAGTCAAAGCAGTTAAGCAAAGTTAAGATCATACAATTTAAGGTACTTATACAAGAGTCAAAAACTGAGCCTAAGCGTCACAGCGAAAGTACTCACTATTCTCAAGGCATAACCAAGTCAAGAGATATTGCTTCAATTCAAAACATAACACAATGGCTCCTACTCCCAAAAAATAACTAACTACACCCGGTTCAAATAAAACCCTTGGAAAAGAACCGCGGCACAAAGAAAAAACAAGAGGAAATTATTACACTATCTACAAAGAAAATCTTTTTTTTTTCTTTAGACTTAAATCCCTCAAGAAAATTGTCTAATAGATCCATCGTCGGGAAAAGTCCAATCTTTTAAAAAAAATACTATTTAATTAAACTAATACAGCTAAACTAGCATGAAAAGTCACCCACACAATCTCATTACCCCACCCCAACTTAAAATTGTGCATTGTCCCCAATCACAGCATAACCATAAGAGGGTAAGAGAAACTCCCTGGTAGGCTAAAGGCCGAAGCCCTAGCAGTTCATGGGGTACTCAGACTTCTCCCAGGCTTGGTCCTTCTGCGGGTACTCAACACTTAGTTCAACCATTTAATTTGCTGTTGCATCCTTCCAATACATTTGCTTTCCATGCTCCTAAAAAAAATAAAAAAATTTGACATACAAAAATATACAATTAAAAAATAAACCAATTAAAATAAAAGAAAGCAATAAAGCTGGGTTTGGCCTCCTAACAAGCGCTTGATTTAATCTCGTCGGCGGCAACGACAGCGAATCCACTTTTTGCCTCCACTCTGGAGCCTTATGAATTGTAATCAAGTTTTGATTCAAGCTTATTGAATTATGGTCACTAGGGCGGTGGAACGAAATCTAACTGCCCAAGAAAATAGATATAGTATTCTGCACTCCTTGGCCTTGTATGAGGTAGTAATCCTGACTTTTGGCAAAGAAAGAATTCCAGAATAATATGCCCACCTTGTTTCCTCATTCCTTGACTCTTCAGATTGGTTCAGATGGCTCATTTCCATATCAATCATCCAAACAATAATGTGAAAAAAATGCTTGGGTGTGGACCCAAATGTGCTCAACCACACATGAACTTCAAGGACTTTCGACATCCCTCAAAACATTTTCAATGAAAATACTAGAGTCAACAAAATTTTTATGATCCTAAAGTTCCTTGGTTGGCTCTAGTCTCACTTTCTTCACATTGACATCCTCAATTATAGTTGGCTTAGGTTTTTGTTGATGTTTCTACTCTGACCCTCCCCAATTAAACACTCAAAGTTCCATCCTCTTCTTGGCTGTATCCTTCCAATTATTGGCTTGGTTGAGCATTAAAAGCTCCAACCACTTGACTCAATTGAGCCTCCCAACTTGCGAATAGTTGCCTCTTGCCTTTCTATTTGTAAATTGTTTCTTCATTGTTTTGTTCCAGAAAGACCACTTTATGCATATCCCTTGATCTCCTTCAGGTCCCGCAATTCCAGGTTCTTTGTTCCTAATTAACTTCAAACAGAAAAAGGTTAGAACCATCATAGTGAAGGGGTTGGGGACAAATAAGAAATATAAGCACAACCATGAAGGTGACCATTTTTTTACCATCCACAACAACAATCAACACCCATTCCACAAAATAAGAAATTGAGTTGGTGCAACATAACTCGCTCTCAGGAACGTTTTGGAAAATTTTTTGCCTACGGGTGGTTCTCCTTTACAACATGTATGGGAGAATCAAATAGTCAGAATATCTACATCTTTAAATTCCCATAATTCCAAGTATGTCATGTTTTTTCTCAAAATCGATAGTTATAAAAAAATGCAAAAAAAAAACAAAACAACAAAAAAAAACAAAAATAAAAGTTCAAAATCGTAACTATAGCAATATAATACAGCTTACACCCTACACCGTTAGTTCCCGGCAACCGGCGCAAATTTGGTCACGCCCAACTCTATTCCTAAAAAGGATAGGCGGTCGCTGCAAATATAATCCGTCTAAAAGTCCGGAGTCGAATCCCACAGAAACTAAGGTTTTCCTAATATTGTTCAAATCGCAAAGAAGACAAGTTTGAACAATTTCTAATTATAATATTAAGATTTTTATATCTAACTAATTAACCAACAAATACTATAAAACGGTAAAATTATCAACTAACGAGACAAAGGTTTGGAGACTAAATTAAGGAGGTCTAGAGTTATGATTTCCCCAATTGTTGATTTCATTAGTTTGTATGTTTCTTATAGCTTTGACTTAGTTGCCTTATCAATCATGAACTCTCCAACTATCATAAATCTCTTCTCAAGCAATTATGATAATTTACTAGACGCACTCTCCTCAAGCTACGCTAGCTAGATTCCACATTACAGTTCATTTTAGATCGCCCGAGGTATCGTTATCTTCTAATCCAACTCCTAACCTTCGGTTATGACTCTCGCCTATACTCCGGGAGTGATGTTTTTCAAACAACTACCTAAATATACACTCTCTCTCAAGCAGATACATAATAAATAGGAACGGCTAATTGAGGATCCTTTCAATTAACCAAAATCAAAACGTAGTTGAACAAATAGAGTTAACAACTAACTCAAAACTATATTAATATAACAACCAATTCATCCCAAAAGGTTCCATCAAAAACCCTAGAAAACGAATTAGCTATTCATAATAGTATTAAACTACATACTAAAAATCATAACCAACAATAAAAATAGGAAGAGGAAGGAAAAACTTGTTGAAGAATTCCCCGCTTGCTCCTAACGTGTTCTTGCCTCCAAGGGTGTTGTCTAACCTAAAGTAGTGTCTCCCTTCAAGTGGTGTTTTAGGATGTATTTATATGACCTAGGGTTGAGAGGGCGGAATTCTTCAATCCAACTTCGGATGGGAGAGTGGAATCCGCGTCTGCCTTCGCGTCTAGACGTGGACTTTGACGCGGATCCGCGTCTGCCTTCGCGTCTAGACGCGGACTTTGACCGGATCCATCTTTTGAGATTCTTCCATTTCGCGAAGCGCTCGTGCTTTTGCTTCGCTTCGCTGTTTTGTGCCTTAACTTTTCTCCTTTTTCGCGTCCGACTTCGTGCCACGCACAGAGAATAGACGAGCTCCCACTCTTTATTTCTTCTTTTTGTGTCGAATTGTCATCTTTTGATCATTTATCATCCAAACTCGTTCCTACACATAAAAACAATAATGAGTATAATTCACTTCGAAAATCATGTAATCTCCCGCGACTCACACAAGAATTAATTGCAAATATACTCAAAAATATGCACTTTTCATCATTTTAGAAGGCCTATGACCAAGTCCCCAGAGAAGGCTTCTATGGGAGTATGTTTTTGGAGGCTAGAGGAAGTGCCTTGTAGCGGTAAATATTGAGTGAATTCCAGGGACATGATGATGGACCTAAGAACACGGGTTTTAGGACAGCAGGTGGGAGACTCGGCTTTAACTTTCCAAGTTGAGAATGGGGTTTTTGCATAGGGATCAGCACTTAGCCCCGTTTTTGTTTTTCCCCTGGCGTTGGATTCTTTGACACGTCACATTTCAGGGGAGGTGGCCTTGGTGGCTTGCTATTTAACGGATGACCTAGTCCTGATTGATGAGACGCGAGGTGGCGTTAAACGAGAAGCTGGAGGTCTGGAGACATTCGCCTGGAATTTAAGGGTTTCAAAGTTGATCAGGACCAAAAGACAGAATACTTGGAAGTGCAAGTTTCACAGCGGTGTTACCCACGGAGGCGGGACGGGGATGTGGAAACTCGATACGCAAGTCATTTTCCAGGAGAGAAGAGTTTCAAGTATTGGGATACTATCATTCAGAAGGATGGGGGAGGATAGATGAGGCAAATGTCCAACACCACCGTATCGGAGCCGGGGTGGCATGAAGTTGGAGGCTCGCTTCCGGTGTCTTGGGTGGATAAAGAATGTGCCCCGTTTGAGACTAAGGGTAAGTTTTACAAGGTAGTTGTTAAGACCGACTCTGTTGTCTGGGGCAGAGTGTTGGCCAAGCCAAAACCTCGCATGTCCAGCAAGATGAGGGTAGCCGGAAATGAGAGAATGTTCAGATGGATGTGTGGGCAATATTAGGTTTTGATAGAATTAAGGAATGAAGTTATTCGAGATAAAGGTGGGAGTGGGCCCCCTGTGGAGGGCAAAGAATGCGTGAGGCAAAGGTTGAGGTGGGTTCGAGCATGGGTTTAAAGAAGGAGCAGCGAGAGGCCCCTGTCAGGAGATGTGAGAAGTTGGCTTAGGAGGTTGTGAAGGAGGGGTAGAGGTAGGCCAAAGAAGTCTTGGGGAAAGGGTGATCAGGCGGGAACATGGGCGCTAACTTGAGCTTAACCGAGGACATGACTCTAGAATAGAAGGGTTGTGGTGGTTTGAAGATTAAGGGTAGAAGATTAGTAGGGTAGTCGTGCATCTCCCTTTTGTCTTCTCTAGCTGATAGTATTAGCGCTAGTTCGGTTACCCTTTTTTTTCCCACTTAGTTTTTCTATTATTCACAATGTCCTCGTTTCGTTGTTACTTTGCCCTGGGTAATTCGTAGTTTTGCTAGCAAGTACTCATTCATATTCTCAGTCTGCTGCCCGCTTGGAAATTAGTTTTTTTCTAAAATATGTTTATCTTGGCTGCTAACTTGTTACAGTACCCTTTCATATTATCTGTTGCTATCATCCGATTTGGTTTTCTAATTATTGTTTGTATTACTTGCCTACAGGGCCTTCTCTCAACCTTTCTTTAGCCGAGCGCTATTCGGAAACAGAACCTCCTTCTGCCCCTTCCAGGGTAGGGTATAAGGCTAGTGTACATCCCTACCTCCCCAGACCCCACTTTGTTGGGACCCCACAACTGGGTTTGTTGTTTTGTTGTTGTAACTTTTCTATGAAACTCTCTAAATACATATATCCTTTATTAATTAAGATAAACTTTCAATTATGAAATTCACTTCACAATATTAATTAATACTGTTTACCGTTTCTTTTTGCGTGACTTTATTTGAATTTAAGAATTAAAATAACTTTTAGCACGTATGAAAATGTACTATTACGCCCTTTGGTTTTTTTAAAATAATGTCTGGTTATTTTAAATAAAGTTACTAGTTTTGAAGCCATATCGATTTTGCATGTGGTATGCCGAGTCATATTAATGTACGACTTTTGTAAATAATATTAAATATTATCAAAAATAAAGTTTTAAATAAATAATTATATGTTAAAAAGTGATGTTAATAAATTTTGTGAATGAACCAACGTTAAACTCATCATAGTTTGACTTTGACCAAATAAACACTTATCTTAATCAAAACAGACAATTGAACTTAAGCCGAAAAAAATAATCTATGAATGTAACATAGTGGCTTAACAGGCAAAAGATAAAAATAATGTACAATAACAATTGGCCTTAAGTTGGTACTTAATAAAAAAAAGTTGTAAGGTTAATTACCAAGAAAAAATTAACATTTGAGATATCTTATTCAGTGATTTAGCCCTAAAATATTTTTATTTATGTTATCTTTCATAGGATCGTTTATTTTTTCTGACCATTAAAAAAGTATTAATTTATTTTATCATTTTTAAACACAAGTGTATATGCCCTATTTGATATCTTAGAGAACTTGGATATGAAAAATACGTTGAAAATAAAGAATAATATGAGTAGTAATTAAACTACTGGGCGAGCAACGCGACTTTTTTAAAAAAATTTTAAAAGAAAAAAGAAAGACCACAATCGCTTTTGGAAGATAAATTTAAGTTAGAATGC